GCTGGCTCCTGCTGTTTCAGGTTATCTGATTAACCAGATCTTATTCATAAACTAGTTAAAGACATCACCATTCAATGTGATTATCACAAGTGTTCCTATGTTAAAAGATTAGCAGATCAGTTTCATTTCAGTGTTTTAAAGGGGGGACTGTTGTTTTAGCAACAGTGTACATAGTTTTTTGTTTTTTATTTAGTTCTAGTTCAGACCAAAAGTATATCATTTTAGTTCATTTTGCTTTTTATAAAACACCAATTTGTGCAAGGTCGATGTTCCACTCCTGCCTCACTTGTTTGCTTGCTTGTTTAAAGCCAGTGCTGAAATAAGCAAGAGTTCAAACAAGTCGGTACAGATAAACTGTTAAAATGATTTAATTTAATCATGTTGTTCTCTCTGTGGGTCTAATGTGGATCGTTCTTCTGCAGTGCTCCAGCTCTTCTGCAGCTCCCCTAAAGCCGCCTTGAGATATGCTGCTGTCAGGACCCTCAACAAGGTACAGCACAAGCCCTCATTTAAACCCCATTATACAGCATATTTTAGAGCTTTAAAAGCTACTAATGGACTAAATATTTTTAATGTTTATTCATTATGTGTGAAAGTGCTCTTATTCAAGTTCAATATCCTTCCCAGGTTGCCATGAAACACCCATCAGCTGTGACTGCATGCAACTTGGACCTGGAGAACCTGATCACAGATTCCAACCGCAGCATTGCAACTCTGGCCATCACTACGCTCCTGAAGACTGGCAGTGAGAGCAGCGTGGACCGCCTCATGAAACAGATCTCCTCCTTTGTCTCTGAAATTTCTGATGAGTTCAAGGTGAGAAAATTGTAAAGTAATTGAATGTGGTCCAGTTTATCAAAAATAGGTTAGATATGTTTATTCTCTCGGTTTTATTTGTTCTTTCCAGGTGGTGGTGGTGCAGGCCATCAGCGCCTTATGTCAGAAGTATCCCAGGAAGCACAGCGTCATGATGAACTTCTTATCAAACATGTTGAGAGATGATGTAAGTCAATAAATGTCTAATTTTAAGAGTGTTTAGAGAAGGATTATTCTAGCAGGTTTTCCTCCATCTATTAGGAATAATTTCCTCTGGTTTCATGCAGGGTGGCTTTGAGTACAAGCGAGCCATTGTGGATTGCATCATTAGCATCATCGAGGAGAATCCTGAGAGCAAAGAGACGGGTTTGGCCCACCTGTGTGAGTTCATTGAGGACTGTGAGCACACAGTGCTGGCCACAAAGATCCTGCACCTGCTTGGCAAAGAGGGACCGCGGACCCCGCAGCCCTCCAAGTACATTCGCTTCATATTCAACCGGGTGGTGCTGGAGAGCGAGGCGGTCCGTGCAGGTGAGACAGCCCCAAGTTGATTCATGATCTAAGTTTAAGTTAGAAACTCTGGGTCTGATTACCAGTAACTGAGTTATTTCATTTTCAGCTGCTGTGAGCGCTTTGGCTAAATTTGGTGCTCAGAATGATGATCTTCTGCCGAGCGTCCTGGTTCTGATGCAGAGGTGCTTATGAATGTTTGTTTTCCCTCAATATATTAAAAGAGACGTGTCTGTTGTCTCTTGAAGGGAATATAAAAATCTTTACATATTTATTTCAGTCTATATTATTTTGAATAGAAACAAGATTTAATTCCCAAATGGATGTTTAAACATCTATTGTTGATGTACACTAACATGTTTGGTTCTCACAGGTGTATGATGGACAGTGATGATGAGGTGCGAGATAGATCTACCTTCTACATGAACGTGTTGCAGCAGAAGCAAAAAGCTCTGAATGCTGCGTACATCTTTAATGGTAAAGCTGCTGCTTTTAAACAATGCAGTTGTGCCAGAGACCTCCACAGGGCTTAATGTTGACGTTTCCTCTTCCTTGTGTCTCAGGGTTGTCCGTGTCCATTCCCGGTCTGGAAAAGTCCCTCCACCAGTACACTCTGGAGCCCTCAGAGAAACCTTTTGATATGAAGTCTGTACCTCTGGCAACAGCTCCAATCACAGAGCAGAAAACAGGTACTGGTATATTTGCTGCTGATTGAATATTATCATTCTGTGCATAAAACAAATCATTTTATTTATTCCCTCTTAGAAATTGCTCCTGTTGCTACAAGCAAACTGCCAGAAAAGTTGGGTCCATCACGCCAGGACATCTACCAAGGTAAAAATACATGTCTGCACTTGCTTTAGTTTGACCTTTACACTGCCAAAGACAACTAATCGATGTCCACCTTTATTTTCTCATCACCAACTTGCAGAGCAACTTGCATCCATCCCAGAATTCCAGACCCTCGGCCCGTTATTCAAGTCGTCAGAAGCAGTACAGCTGACAGAAGCTGAGACAGAATACGTGGTTCGCTGCATCAAGCACACATTCGCCCGACACATGGTGTTCCAGTTCGACTGCACAAACACTTTGAACGACCAGCTGCTCCAAAAGGTTCCTGGATACCAGATCCGACATGTTTCCTAACAGCACGATTTTATAGCAAGTTTGATGCAACGGGGCTGAACTCCTGTTGGTTTCAGGTTGTAGTACAGATGGAGCCATCAGAGGCTTACGAGGTGGTCCACTACATCCCAGCACCCAGCCTCCCCTACAGCCAGCCTGGGTCCGCCTACACTCTGGTGCAGCTGCCTGACGACGACCCTACTGCCGGTATGAAGGCTGGATTTGTTTTAACTAACGTCCCGACTTTTATACTTAAATTTAGTGTCAATTCTGTCTAAGAGGAATAGTCTGTCTTTATATACTGAATAACTCGGATATTATATCCATTCAACATGGGTGAAAAGAAGTGATGGTCTTGGTTGTTAGAATGGAAATGAATTTAACACTGCTTTAGTGTTAAACCTGCTTTGGGAAAAGTTCCTAATACCTCAAACTTGGAAGAGAGATGCACAGCAAGCCAACCAGAGAGGAAATCACTGGTCAGGGTCTCCCTAACCAAGGCCTGGATCATCCATAAACACGCTACTAAACGATGTGAGGGAATCATCATAAAGCCCGTCATGCTATTTTAGCATCCTCCAGTAGAGCTCGGTAGGGGGCTTCATAAACCACCTGGATCAGTTCAGAAACCTGGTCCTGTGTGTTTTAATAATGAGACACAGCTGGCAGCAACGACCCCGTAGGTTGGAAGGAATTGAAACGCTGACCAAGAAAAATTAGTTTCACTCTAACCAGGTAATGTTAACAGAAACATCAAGGTGAAAGATTTTAACAGTCATAAATGGATGCACGGTTTGTTGTTTTTAGGTCAAGATGTATAAACTAATAGAGGAAAGCTTAAAATTATATAATAAAAAAAAAATAAATTTGGTGGCCTGTTTTTAAGTTGTCCTCTACACGTCACCCTGCTTTTTCCTCTTTCTAGTAGATTATGAGGCACTTTATATCTAGATTACTCTGTACATCTACGCTACGTACTCCCTGCACTCGTTACTTCACTTACCAACATTCTGTTGTAGCTGTCCTCTAAGATTGATAGTGGGGAGGACATGCATCCCCACTTCCTGGCGTCCTGGCTCCCCATCTGCCGTAGCATTTTTGTTGTACCTCATAGATCTCTAGTCAGAT